GGGGCTTAAAAGGCACCGTAAAAGCTCCCTCTGTGGATCACTTCAGGCCGAACACCCTAAGAGGTACCAAAACCTCACTCTTAAGCCCTAAAAGGTACGATGACCACCCCTGTCCTTTTTATATGGGAGTTCCCCCCGGAATGCTAACTACATGTAGCAGAATGCATCACCGTTTTCAAATCACTTGCAACCTAAAAGTCAGGAAAAAATATTTAAAACTAATGGAATATCAGGATTACATATTCTCATAAACAGTTGTTATTCATGGAGACATTTACGCGGTATTGCTACTTGTCAGCGATGTATTTTTCATCTTTTTCTTTTCTTTTTTTTCATTTCGAGCACATATATACAGTATTATCATGTTAATTGTTTACGTAAAATACATCGCTTCTTTCATTCTGTCATGAACTTGAATGGCTCTTGCAGATTTCTCCAAATCTACAGTGTCCCCCCTCCTAAAACGTTGAACACGAGAAGAATTAAAATACAAACAAACACACTAGGCCACGAAAAAACTCGAAAGCACACGTGGAGAATTTGATAAAAATTACAATATTACAATATTTAGAGAGGAAGCCACATCAGGCTTAGCTGGTTTTCATGTGGGTGTTCTATCCTGATCGAATTGGAATTTAGAGATTTGGTTTTTGTGGAGGGAAGAAAACCGGAGAACCCGGAGTAAAACCCTCGGAGCAAGGCGAGAACCAACAACAAACTCAACCCACATATGGCACCGGGCCGGAATTGAACCCGGGTCACACTGGTGGGAAGTGAGCGCTCCCACCACTGCACCATCCCGGCTCCCCATAAAATCTTGCCACAAAAGGCCTACCTTCCATTTTCGCCGTTGGTCATGTGGCGTCTGGCTCGAAATGCTACCAAATGTGCATAATAGGCGGGGGCTGGTATGGAGACACTGCGAGTGCAACGTGCATATACGTGGCACAGCTGATAAGTGAGCTGTTGAAGACCGTCTGCTGTAAAGGCGTTATCGTCGTACAAAACGTGATAGTGAGTGGGTCGGCTTGTTCCCTGATGAGGAATTATTTTACATCCTTATTGTCTAAAACGAAGATTACATTTACGTAGTGCATACGTTTAACAAGAATAATACGAAAAGCGCTGTGGGAGAAGAGGAGAATTATCTGAAAAGTTAAGAAATCAGAACGTTTATATTACCAATAAGTAACTTGGTCAGCAGAAACTAAGTTAATAAGCAAAGGCAAGGAAAGGAGGGAATGAACTGATCGACTGCCTCTAAAAGACAAGCAGGTGGGATTCGTATGAAGGAGACAGATAAACAGAGAGAGAGACTGACTGACTGACAGACAGACACAGACGACAGACAGCGAGAATAAATGACTGGTTGATAAAAGGGTGTCAGGTGTCCTTACAAGCAGGTCTAAAGGTGCGTTCTTTTGGGACAATCAAGATCAGGCCTATGATCCAAGGTGACTTAGATCGATATCATGGTGCATCAAAGAAACCAACGAATCATTGTCCACAGTGCATTCACTAGGTCATTTGATACACCACGATCTTAGTGATCTTGGATTTCAAATCCTGATCCAAATCTTCCAAAATGAACGTACCCTGAGATTGGTTTAACTTCATGGTTTATTTGCAATACGCTATTTTACAATAAGCTAAAAAAGAGAAAGCAACTTTTTCATAATGTTACATAGCGTCAGATTACCTGGATTCCATAGTGGCTGCACAGGTAGAAATCAAACTCATATGGGTGTGTTATACCACCATCCACAGTGGTGCCTGGTGGTACATTCTGAGCTTTCCCTGAAGCATCTCGTCTGTCTTCACAGAACAGTCTTGTGTGGTGGCGCTTCTGAGCCACAACAAAAGTGATTCTTGGACGATATTCCTTTTCCAGCATCATACAGGCCACCTGAACAGCTCGCACTTCATGAATCAGTACTTGGTCAAACTGACTTTCACTGACTCCATCACGGTAAAAAATGATTGTGGACGGCTTACGTCTCCAATTCGCTTTGTAGAACTCGATAAGAAGCTCTTTAACCATGACAGCCAGATCGTTAATAATTTCCTGAGGACCTCTAGACTTCTCGTGTCTCTGCGCTCGAACCCGTGCGCAATATTTGGTTGCATTTACATCCATACTGGCCGCAACAGCAGCGATAGATGGAATCCCATTTTCAGTAGGAGTGGGGTGTGTTACATCCGCACCAAAGATGATAACAGGATCTCTAAACACGGGGGACTTCTCTGACGGATCAATCACATGATTAATTCCACCTAACTTGGAGTTTATCTTCAAAGAGATATTGGCACAGACTTGAGGTTTCGCTTGTTGTGCGTGCTGAATTTTAACACATTGGGTGGCAATTCCTAGGACAATGTCGCCAACTCGTTTGATCTCTGAATAAAGTTCCTTGGCTTTATCTGGCAGAACAGCTATGATAAGCTGTAGTTGTGGATAATCTACCGCCCACTGAGAGAATAGACTTTCCACCTGATCAAACGAGGAAGTAAAACAAGAGTTCATTGTATCAGAGCATATAAAATCCTAGTTCGCCTCTGCATTATTTCTTAATTCATCGCCTATATGAAATAAACTATACGCATATGTTTATAGGGGCCTGAAATCCATCAAAAGTCCAGAGTTAATAATCAAAGATGTGTGAATCTCTCCTAGCTCCCTTTCAGTGAGTCTCGTCAATCGTTCCATTTGGGTTTCAAAACATTATTAAAACAAGAAGTTGTTTCCTATAATCCTCATTTCAGGAGCCAGCCTTAGCTCTAGCAACTGTAATCAGAACCACATAAGGGATTTCCGGGCTGTGGATGGGAGAGTACTCCAGTGCAGACTTAATCCTAAACATATTTACACGGGTGCACTAATTTATTTAGACCAAGCCTTTTATCTTCAACGACTAAGAAGGTTAGGGGAGTGTGGGTCTGCCACTTCTGTAACTTCAAGGATATTACAGGAATGATCAGAGGCTTACAGGTTATACTATGCATCCAAAAAATGTATTATTAATGAACTGGGATAATAACAACAAACACAATGAAAATTACGTCGTGATACAATCCAGATAGCGGCTATCTTGGATCGGTCTTATTGAATTTCTTGGTTTTTTACAAAACGTCATAAAACCGCCAAAAATGACTCTAAAACAATCAATCCTAAGAATACTAAAATTGAATATAACCGCATGAAACTGAGTTAAACAAGAAAATTGCAAATTTTGAAAACCTCGCTTGTCACAATATGGTTGACAGGGAAAGTTCCGACAACAGTGACCTGCCATACCATTCTCGATAAATTTTACATCATGGTCATACGTTTGGCAGCTTGAACTTACATGAAATGTTACAAACGGTACTATCCAACATGGGCACTTTCCACCCTCTCCCCTGGACTAAAATATGGTTCAGATATTTCGAGATCTGTTCTTCCAAAAGTTCTTAAAGGAAGTCATTTTCACTCTAACCAAAGGCCCAGAAAAATTCAGTAGCGTCTGATTGCCTGCAGGGCAAAAGTTGTCAAGTAGCATTCACTGTGAAATCAAGTTTGTCCATTGCTGTTTAGATATCTACGTGGTCCTAGTTGAACCATTCAACATCAAGAATAATTGTCAAATCCTTTAAGAGAATGTAAACCTTATATTTAAAGTATTTTCTAAATGGCCCTAATTCCAACTTTTTCAAAAAAAGACACAAGATCTTCAAGGTTTGTGGAGAAGCAGTCAAACTGAATTTGATAGGTAAGAGAAATTTGTAAGCCTTGCATTGTGCAGGGTACCCAACAATTTATCAGAACCAGTATTAAAGGAATGATCAATAGGCAGGGAAAGCAGCGCTTTGTCCAAAATCAGAACACAGAGAAACTCGTCAGGTTCAAACACTTGCCCTCAGGATGTTCAACAAGTCAACTAAAATTTTGGACTTTTTGTGGCTACATTGGCTAAAAGGAAATGTGACAAAATATGCTTAGAACTAGATCTGAAATAGAATGGATATTTCATAATTATTGAAGTGAAGTTTTTGACAAGTATACTTTTAGAAAAACACATCAGTTCTTACATCACAGAAGCCCCCAGGATATTCCAAAGCAGTTGGTTGTTCTGTCATCC